CCATCCCATCCCATCCCATCTTTAGTTATTTACCACCACTAGTCCAATTTAATACCATCACTGCTACTTTGCTTCTATTTTCTACCCACCATGCTAACAAGTTATATTTTTAACTTTTAACTTTGTGGGTATTTGAATCAGTTTTACGTACATTCAATGAATTTTATGGGAATCTGAAGAACTAGTTATTGACTGGTAAGGTTGTTGTGAGTCGAAAAGCTAGTTGTTGTATAATAAACTAGTTGTTAGTTGATGAACTAATCATCATGTTTGGTAAAAATTAGTTCATAGTTAAAAAAGGGTAGACACCAACCTCTGAGAATATCCCTACAGTAACTAGTTAATAAGCTAGATGACAATGTAAAGAACATTGGATAAAATATAACACCCCTCCCCCCCCCCCCCTCCAGAATTTTATTGAAATGCTACTTGAAGTAACTTTTCAAAAAGTTAGCTTATGTCTAATCGAACAAATCTTTTTCAATAAGCTCAAAAATTATGCTAGCTTACGGTTGACAAACAACCTTAACCAAACCATGATTCTTATAAGAGTTTATGGTAGCTTATTTCCTAGTGAGACGAAAAGGGTCGTTTGAGGATTGATCATCTAACCTTCATTTTTACATCAAATGTTGCACATAGTATTGCATATGCATTCTTTACATTTGGTAAAGTTTGAATTTTTAACTCTCTCGACTCCGGATAAACTGGACTCTACTGTTTGAACTTTCACCATTTGATGAGTTATAATAGCTTGTTTCCATGGTAAGGGCAAAAGGGATGATGGGAGTATTATGGAACATGTGTTGGAGTCAAAATTAAGGAATCAAATCAAACACTATATAAATTCAGTCAATCAGATGAACCACATGCCAAACTTCAAACCATATGCATGGATTAGTGGTTTCATGGTACTCTGCCTTAAATCTAATATAATACTACAAATATATATATAGTTACAGCTCATTATTCAGCAGAAGGCTATTGTCTTTTCCAATTTCTTACTGCTACCCACATTGTCTTCTTTCCAACTTATATATTATGCTTCACCTAGCTGTATACCCCATCCATTTTTCAAATATTTTCTTTAATAAGGTTATTCCATTAGTAAAAATTATCATAAATTACTTCAATGAAAAGGTTTAGAGTTTAGGGTCTAGGGTAGTAATAACATGGTAAAAGTAAGAATTTAAAAGTTTACTTTGGTGACAATATGTCAGATCTCACATCGGTTGGGGAAGGGAATAAAGGTTGTCTTGGACCCGATACCTGCTCTATTAGATATATTTTAAAACTGAGTTCATGTATGAATAAAATTGACTATATCTGATACAGTTGGCCGGAAATGTAATATAATGGCATGAAAATTGGATGATATAATGAAAAGAAAAGATAGTTTTTAAAAAAATTAAATAAATGTATAAAAAAGTACCATAGGGTAAGCAGTCCTCCAGCAATTGTTTAATGACCACCGACCTCCTGCCCCAATATCGTTTATTGAAATTCAAATATTTGAGTTCTCCCATCTGCTCCAAAAGAAAGGAATACTAGAATTAATATAAGAAAGTTGCATCTGCATCAGCAACTATAGACCTCCATCAATACTTAAAAATAAGTGGTAAATAGTAATTCAGTAATTAATTAATTATCATTAAAAAAAAAAGATAAATCCTTTTTCTATGCTCAGTACCAACTAGCATTCATAATGGTTGGACATTTTAATTCTTACCTTCTAAAAAGAAAAAAATAAGACCCATAAGTAAAAATCAGCTTGAAACTGATTTCATAAGTATTCATCTAATGAACTTTTTTTGAATTAAATATGATTATAGTGAGGCCGGCTTGTGAAAGGGAAACGGCGGTTTGGGAATCTCCTTAGTGGCTTGCGAAATGGCCCACCAGAATCATAATAAAAAGTACATTTGGCAAGTTGTGAAATGGACACTTGCGAAATCTTGGTTATTTTGGTTCAAACATCAAAACATTGGCAAGAAAATTGAAGAATGTTATACAAAATGGCTAGTTTGGTCAATTTCTCTGAAAGAAACCTTTGCAAGAAGTTCCATTGTGGATGTTCTTAGTCATACTATACCAACTTAACTATTCACCCTGTTCAGTCATTAAAAGCATTAAATATAGCAATAATGTTATATATATTAACCATCTGTGGGTTACTGAGTGATTGGAGTTTCATCTAGAGGTTCTTGAGGGACTCTTTACTAATTGTTGACCGTCTTTTATTAGGTTACTCACTAAAACCTGTGGTTGTTTATAATACATTTGGATTCGACAAATGATGCTGACTGAAATGTTGACTCACTAAGGAAGGAAAGACTCTCTTACTCAGTCACGGATACACTCTTACCTGGTTAACACTTAGCCAATTTATGTTTTGGTAAAATGATCACCAAAGGCATATATGGTTCATACAGGTAGACGGTTAAGATGCAAGTATCATCAGGAAAATGCTATATATATTCTAAAAACACAGTCAACATCCACTTTCAAACCTACCCTTTTCCCTATTTCCTATATATAGCTTTCCAACATCTCACCTCACCCCACTCTACTCTCATCTCTATCTCTCTATCTCTCTCTCTCTCTCTCTATATATATATATATATATATATTCATATACAGAAGGCAGAAATCACTAAATCAGATCGAGATCAGCGACTGTTAAAATGGAGCATTGCATGGAGAAGAAATGGAAGCTATCGAAAGAAGATCCATGCAACCATTCAACAAAATCATCATCCCTTTTGAGAAGCATGAGCTCCACCAAATCACCTCTTCTGAGATCATTCTCACAGAAGTGTAGTTCTTCCAAGTCTTCTCTTTTCTCAAGAAGCTCATCACAGAAGAACAAGTGTGCTCCATCGGATCTATCAAGAAGTTCTTCACAAAAATGTGCCAACTTCACCCGCAAATGTGGTAGCTTGGCCAAGGAACAGAAGGCAAGATTCTACATTGTGAAACGTTGTGTCACAATGCTGGTATGCTGGAAAAAGCATGGAGATTCTTGAAATTTTTTGAACTTTTTCTAGTCTTGAGTTCATTGGAATGATATCTCTTGAGAGATGGATCTGATTTGGGTTTCAAAAACCCAGAGTTTTTTCTGCCATCCCAGAAAGAAGAAAGAAGAGAGAAGAAGGAATCATCAAACATTTTTATTCTTCATTTATTTTATTGTTCTTCTTCTTCTTTATGTGCTTAGATTTGAGTTCAAATGGAAGCACCCATCCATGTGAGATGGTAGGCAAACTTGAAGAGCAGCACATGCAATGATGCAACCAAAGAAGGATGACATTAATGTACCATATATATATATATATAATATAGACTTTTAATGGCCAAAGATGTCTTCTATTCCTCTATGCTTTAGGCTACTAACTGTCTTTATCATCTTCCTGTCTCATGTGCCATTACTATACATGTCTTGATGAGAGAGGGAGTGAGAGATTTTTTTTCTGTAGTTAGGATGGTATATTGCTCCATTGGTTTCTCTTGCACAAGCATGGTCTTCCCAGAAACAATCGTTTTACTCTTTAGAGGTCAGGTCTGCCTACATCTCATCCCTCCCGGTCCTTACTTTCGAATGGAATTTACTGGGTTGATTTGGTTTGGTTTTTATTAGTTAATTTGTTTAATTAACCATCACTAATTTCTAGGTCTTTCATGTGATTTATGTCATATGGCCCCCCATAAAATAGATATAAAAAAGGAAAATGAAATGAGTTACAAACAAAAGGAGTGGTTATCAAATATACGCACATTATATATAGAGAGATTGGATCTACCTTGGGAATGCAGAAATCTTACCACTTTGAGATATGGGGAGATAGGGATCAGTGGAATGGATCATAGGGGCATATGGTGATGAAAACGGTATATATAAACAAACCTGTTTGTAAGGCAACAAATTCAACTGGGGGTATGCTCCTCTGATTTTGGGCCAAAAAGCCACAAAAACTGGACCTGGCTGTAACCTGCAAACAACCATAAGGTCTAACAAGCTTAATTGGACTAATATTTGGTCATCTATACCAAGACTATTTTATAGTGGCTTAATGATATAGAAAGTTGCTTATTTAGTAAGCTTCTGGAGGGAAACATTATGCAGAAAGCCAAAGTTTTTTTCCAAACTTGCCCTTCGATTGAAAAACACGTTCCTTTCATCTATGAAAAAAGCCCTTCTGAACGAAAACATTTTCAATCTATACACACCAAACAGCTTTATCCATACAGGACTTGATGGAAAACCATCCAAACAACTCCTAGTCTATCTCCATAAACCAAAGAAAAAAAAAACGACTAATGAAGCTAGTTTAAATATGTTTATGATAAGTAATCCACAGAAATCTACAAAACGTAAGTTGTCTATCCATTGACACACTCTTTCTAATTCATATAAACAACCTCTCTGTAATTCATTGGGTAATGGTTAAGGGCAGCATTTGAATTCTGGTGCCTATTGACACATACCTCATAATTTCGTGCAATCTTAGAACCAATAGGCCGTCTAGCTTTTTCAATTTCTAACATATATGCTTTTCTCTTTCACTAGCAGGGTCGTCAAGGAAATAGCCGCTCTACTCTTTAAGGTAGAGATTAGATCCCCATACAACTTACCCTCCAAGATCCCACCTCCGGTGTGATATACCGAGCTCGTTTGGTTTCACTTACAAAAGGGAGAGTTTTCCGCCCGGTTCTAATGTATGTGACAATGTGTTCGCCTGTTCAGCCCTTGTGGACATAGTCAGCCAAAGATCAGACACCACAACTACAAAAAAAAGAGCATTTGATGATGAATAGTAAGTTGTAAGTAAACTGATCGTGAATTTACAATCAACCTGCTGTTCTAAAGAGGAAGGATTTCAGGGATGCTTACAATAGAAGAAAAAGTAAACTGTAATCCCAAAAATTACATAGCATAAGATCCCCAAATCTATCACATCTATTAACCTTGTAAATTTGAAGGGTTAGAGAGAACTTCAACATCAAACATTGAAAAAAATGCAATTTACTGCTTCAATTTTTCTACAGAAAGGCATGAAGTTATGCACAAATGTGACTCTCAACACATTCACTCGATGCTGGATTACTCATATAGCTTCAATGTATGCAAACATGTAAGAAATTGATGAAACCAACACAATTCAACCATCGAAAAAGTTAAAGAAGTAAATTCTAAGGTAATTGAACGAAGATCAGTATACGCAATTCGTGTGTGTTCATCGGCCTCTGGCGATTGCTTCCGAAATTATGATAGGGTTTAGCATCCAACCTTCAATTTGATATCATCATTGAGACCGTTAATGGAAGTTGCTGATATAATAAACTCTTTGTTAAGCCCATACCCTAGTCTAAAACCACCATTTACTTACCCCAGATGATGCGAAACCCTATGGAGATAAAAATCGTGCCATTTGCGATCACCAGTCTCCCGATCATCAACAGGTAGTTGGAGAGAGCGTTTTCATTATCAACAACAAATTAATTAATATATTGTTAATGTTTGTACAAACCTCGTTTAACTATTCATAATTTTTATTTTGTTCATTTTTTTAATTATGGAAGGTTGATTAATCATTTTTATTGTGGAGGGTCTTATTCATGGATATTATCATCTTTATTATTTTAATTTTAGAGAAATACATGAAATAGTTTCATTAAGTATTATATGAAACAATTTCATAACCATATATGAAACAACTTCATCAAAAAAAGTATTATATGAAGCAATTTCACAAGATTAAATAATTTCATAAGATTAAACAATGAAATCGATGGATAAGGGTAGTTTGCACGGTTTGTACAAATTGGGTGGTTTGCATTTGATCGTTCCTCGGTTATTATATGTTGTTTTGATGATATCAATTAAATTATTTGGTTGATTTCCATTACGTTTTGTACGGATAAAACTCTCTATGGATTAATTTGTCTGTATAAACCAAAAGGTGTAAGAGTTTTCTCATGAATGGAATGAACGTGCTTTTTAATTAGGATGGGAAAGTCGTAAAAATATGGTTTTCTACATAAAGTCCTCCTAAAAGCTTATTGAATAAGTCGTTTTTTATATCATTAACCCACTATAACTAACCAAATAAATTGTGAGTCTTATTAAACTCGTTAAGCTGGTAATAAACGTTGCCTTTAAAGTTTTATGATGTTGGATCCTTTCTTTGGTCCTTTGACGACCGATTTCATAAATTGGTTCGGTCCTTAAACAAGTTTGATCTTAAAATTAGGACCGATTAAGGCTCAAAGGCTAAGCCCAATTTGTTTTTTGGAAGTTCACTTTTGCTTCCAAGAAAGCAGGTGTGGATGACCGAAACTTCACAAATCGTTCTTTCATCGGACAGAAATCGGTCCTAGATTTTGCTCGACATTCAGTCATTGACCAATACCTTGTTGGATTCGTCCTTATCCCGTCAAACAACCTTGTTTCATTCAGCACTTAACCATTCTGACCCTCTTAATCATTCTGACCACTTAATTATTCAGCACTAAATCATTCAGCAACTATCAAACAGCCCCTAAATAATAGTAATACCTATAACTTCTGAAGCTCAAGGCTTACCTCGCAAAAAATTGCATGTTTGAATAGCCTCAACTTCTGTAGATCATATAGACATGTATAAGTTTGAGCCTAATTGCATATAAAATTTGTTGAGATGTCCCAACAGCATATGCTCGCCACTCGAGATCTGAATCAATTTGTCGAATGTATACATCGAGAAACCTCATTTTTACGGATGCTTTTTTTCCAATTTTGGAAAGAAAAAATGTAGACTATTCACTTATTACAGAAAGGATGACATCAATGAGTTTATATAAAGGGGGTGAATATGATCATGAAAACACAGAACCGAACCAATATAACCATCAGTCGACTATTCACTTATAGATATCTCAGCACTCATTGTCAAACGAGTTACTCTGTATGCACCTCTCTGACACGTGCTACATCTCGATGATGGTTGATTCTCACAATAAAGATGGATCAAAAAACGTCAATTGCTACTAGTCAATTTCCGTCACTATTGGTTTTGATTTGCTGACTAGACAACAATTGGTTAAAAAGTACTGCTATACATGTTACACTTTATAAAATATAAGTATATAATTAATATATTTTTACATCAAATAAAAAAACTAAATATTAAATAATCAACTTATTTGTTTTGTCGTTCTAATATTAAAAGGGTGTTTGAATACGGATTTTCAAGGTGGGCTATTGTAAATTCATAAAATCAATATCAAATAACCATTTGATTAAATTTCAGTTACAGCATCTTCAATAGATTCTTTAAAAAACAGAATAAAAAATCAGATTTTCGAAAAGAAAATTACATACAACTTCGCAACTTTTTCATTCTAAAGATTATAACATAATAATCTTCTAAAAAATTCAAAAAGCAGAATAAAATATCAGATTTTTGGAAAAAAAATTATATACAACTTCACAACTTTTTCATTCTAAATATTAGAACATAATTATATTATTATGTGACACTCGTATTTTTATGGGTATAACATTTTAGGATTGACATTCTTTTATTGAGGTTTTAGAGATCGTTTAGTGAGTGGAATGCATTGTGCCAGAAAAAAACAATTGGCGTGGGTATTTTTGGCAGAGAAAGGGGTGTATCAGGAGCTAACAGAAAGTTGGGTTATTTGTCCTGCCACTTCATGTCGCAGGTCAGGTCGTACAACTTTTTTGTTCTGAAATTTTGATTTTTGTGCACGCACGACTATCCCCTCGACTTAGACCTTGAGAAGGGTCGCGGGAAGCCTCTAACAGGTTTTAAACTCCATTTATGGTCTAGGATTTGTCCATTCTTCACCCGCTTCAATTCTTTAACATTTTTTGGGTTATTTTTTGGAGCCAATCTCTTCAAACGGAAAGATTTTCAAGATGATTTATGTGATGACGGAGCTTGTGGAAGATTGAGGCTCAAGTCTTCAAGATCTCCATTGTTGGAATCAAAGGTTTTACCATTCATTCAAAAAGATCCCCCTCCTTCTCCTTTCCTCTTAATGTGATCTAGAAACCTTGGAAGCATTTCTTGGTGATTTGAGAGTTGACAAGTTGAAGGTAAGATCTCGTATCTCCAACCAAAACTAGTGTTTCTGTGTTCTCCGTCCCCGTTATATTTCTCCCTATTTTGGTGTAACATTAGGAGTGATTTGTGGCAGCAAAAACCTTGTGGAAGTTTTGGAGCTAAAATTTGAGGGTCTAAATTGGAGATATCAAATCTTTACTGAAGGAATCCCGAGATGTGGATTAAAAACCTAAATTTAACGTAAATCTAGCAAGGTGGGTTCAAGTTGATTTGTGAAAACTTTGTACGTGCCAAAAATGTGTATTTTGGAGTCTTAAAGTGTTTACTTTAAGATGTATCGAGTGTTGGTGGTTACTTGATGGAATTGCATCTTTTGTACATCTGGTTTTATAAAATCTTGGGAAGTACATATAGTGGGAGTTGTTGTACATTTTGATAATAAATCATAAAGTATGTGGATTTTGATGATTTATTCCTCATACGAGTGTATTTGGTTTTAATATACTTTTGGTATTTTGACTTTATAAATCATTTGAAAACTACATATAGTTAAGTTCTTGAGTATATTTTGGGTGTCATTGTTTATTTGGAAATGTTTTCTTGAAGTTATGGTGCATTTTGGGATTTTGCCCAACCTTTGAGTCGTTAATAAAGATATTCACGTCCTTGGGGTATAAGTTGTATAAACATTGAATATTTTTATTTTATTGGTTGTTGCAGACTTTTTGGAATTCTTCATTGAACTGTTGAGTTTTTGGCTCATTTTTGGTCATTTGAATTTTGGGGATATATGCGCAGTTTAATTTGCTCTGTGTTGAGCTTTGACATGATATGCATTTATTGCATTTTTATTTGAGAATTACATGTTTTGAGTGTATTGGTCATTTATTTGGAGTCATGTAATTTAGAATGTAATGCATTGGATCCATAGACATATGAGTCAATCATGTTTGATAAGTGAGGAGTCTTGATGTCCTCCCTTTGTGACCAATACTCAAGTAGGTATTATGGTCGTCTTGGTATTGTGGAGGTGAATTCTTATGAGTCGAACTTTGATACTGTTAGACATGTGGTTTTGGTGCTTTAACCCTTATGCATGAGGGTTAATTGCACTACGTTATCAAATAGGAAGTTTGAGGTTCCTATAATTGTTAGTGAGTAGACACTAAAAGTTGAATGGGAACCTTGAGGTTGGAACTCAACTAGAAAACGAATGGGGCATAAGATTCGTTATTCTTAAGGTGAAACTCGATTAATAGACATTAAAGATATTGTGCCCTTGAGGTGAAACCCAATGAAGGAGACACTAAAGGTATTGAGTACAACCACAAGGGTGGTGCCTGATTGGTTTGAGTTTGACTCCAACGGTCAAAAGTATCAGGAGATCCCAGGTTCAAATCCAAGGAGAAATAAAAATCCCCTTCGTACAAGAAAAACCAAGGAAATTGGACCAAACCAACCAAACAGTGGCCGTCGCGACCTAACACAGGGCTAAAGGCAAGTTGTCCACTATGGTTTTGAACCCGAGAAACAGAAGGTCCCTTGACTAGGTGTGCACGTACACTGCAGGAGAAGCACGCATGTGTCTGGGGTTTTGATGTGGGCGACCCATGTTGCGACTTAGGTCGCGGGCGTAATCGCGGGAAGGCGTCTGGTTGATTTATAACTCTTTACTAAGCTTTCTTCTCATTCAAGGGTTTACCAAATTTAGAGATTTTTTATCTCATCTTTTCATACATTCCATTTTAAGAAAGTTATAGAGAATCTATTTGAAAAAAAGAAAATAGACTAAAATCTCACTATTCTATGTTCTTAAGAGAATGTGTTTTATAATCATAAGTAATGTCATATTATCCTTGAAAATCATTTTTCTTGGAATATTTCCGTCTTGCTTCTCTGATCCAAATACGAAAAATTGAAATCAGTAGTAAATCGCTTACATGTAATATTTACCTGCAAGACTCATTAAATGGGTAACATTTTCGATCATCAAAATTGATTATTGATAAGTGTCTCTTAATAACGTTTATCGGGTAAAAGTTTCTCCCTCATTTATCAGGTAAGATCTTTGATTCTGTTATATAACTTCTTGTCGGGTATAATCTTTATCATACTCACTTGTAAGGAAAGTGACGTATGATAAACACTTTTACAACATGTTAGTTAACAGCACCACCTATTCGAAGGCATGACTCCCTTCGCTTATAAATAGCCTTTTTTCTCATTTTTGTATTTTTTTCCTTTTACTATAGAAATTGGAAAACCACGAGAATAGTTTTGATATTAAATGTTTTTACTCCAAATATGCATCCATACTTAATTACGAAAAAAAAAATATACATGCATACATATATGTATATGTATATATATCATCACAGTTAGGAGTACTGAAAATCCGATCATTTATAGAAGTACAAAAGCTCGATCTAGCCGATTCTCTAGTTCGAGCCAATCTTTAACATAAAATGAAGTTCGATTAACCTGACGAATCAAATTCCGTAACATCCCTGTTTTAGAGCTCAATTAAATTCTTGGAGTCGAGTCGAGTCGAACGAAGTTATACGAGCATACATTCTTTTAAATCAAATTCATATGTTCATAAATCATATAATCACAATATAAAAATAACAAACTCGAGTCCGAACGTGTAATTAGCCTCCGAGTCTTGAGTTCGAGCTACAAATGAGCTCGGTTAGTTGTATATTTTCAAAAGTTAATTATTGTGTAATGATTGAATCGTTGGTATATTTCGACTTCTAAAAGTATCTCCAATAGATTCTCTAAAGTGGAGAATCAAAAGTTAAAAATCTCTGAAACAAATTAAGTTCATCTCCAACAACTTCTCTATTTATGAAATTACAAAATGAATTATATTATTAAAATAATCAATGCAATTCATTAATTATTCTCTCGACTAACTATTTAATTTTAAGGGTTCTCATTAAAAAAAATCTAAAAAGTCCATTTTGAAGACTCTTGAAAACGCTATAACAATCATATCATCATAATATGAGGTGCTCAGTTAGAGGTAACAAGGTGTGAAATATAAATCGTTAATGATGTCAAGTTTGATGCAAATCAATGGATCATTACCAAATACCGAGTAACGAATTCATTCCTTTTTTTGAAGGCATTATATCATCAAAGCACAAAAACAGCACAGAGCAGAAACAAAGCCCTCGTAAAGCAAACCACAAGGGTGGTGCCTGATTGGTTTGAGTTTGGCTCCAAAGGTCAAAAGTACCAGGAGGTCTTAGGTTCAAATCCAATGAGGAATAAAAATCTCATTACGGCCACGGAGGTTCAAATGCGGTGACTCCAGGCTATCTGCAAAGCAGGTGGTTGTCCTGAAATTAGTCGGCTCGCATAACGGGTTGGATATTCAGGTTAATTAAAAAATGCCCTCGTAAAGCAATAAAGAAGCAATACCTTAACAAATTGGGAGGAACAAAACTCATTCCCGGTTTTCCATTTCCTAAAACGAACCAAACGTCTACTAAATCTATGGGAACCCAAATTTCACTTGTAGATCAACAAGATGATACATGGATATGTAAAGAACAACATCATAGACATTGAAACTACTTGCAAAAAGCTGGCAGGTTTTCATGGCAACACCCATTCTACTTTTAGGGTTAGAGATCAGGTATGTATACATCTTACTCTTTTTATACTCCATCTACAAATAACATATATTGAATTCATTTGATTTGGTTTAAACAACTAACCACAAGGTTGGTGTCTGATTGGTTTGAGATTGGCTCCAAAGGTCAAAAGTAACAAGAGGTCACAGGTTCAAATCCAAGGAGGAATAAAAATCCCCTTGTGGCCACGGAGGTTCAAATACGGTGACTCCGGGCTATCTGCAAAGCAGATGGTCGCCCTGGGATTAGTCAGCTCGCATAGCGGGTTGGATATCCAGGTTAATGGAAAAAAAAAAACTACTACCAAGAAGAAGAACAAAAACTTGATATAACTACAAAAATTCAATAGAAATATGATTGGGATAATACAAAAAAAGTATATCCAGACACAAGAAGTTAAATTATTGGGAAGCACAAAACGAAAGCAGATTCTGTATGGCACTGATATCCAAGAGTGTGTGTCTTGAGCAAAATGGATTTAATACAAGACTTCTTGATCCGTACCTTCTATCTAGGCTAATACAAACACACATGGTCCACATAAAAGTTGCTTTGCTAAACAAGAATCTAAAGCACACACAAACAAAAGCTAAAGTTGTATCAAAGTCACTTTGGTCTCTCTTTTTTCTCAACCAAACTAAAGTAGCTTTCTCTAAATCTTTATCCTTCCTTCACTTCACTTGAACACTTCACTCTTTGGAATCAGGTATGAATTCTTTTCATTCAACCCTAACCAATTGGACCATTGGCCTTTTTGTATGTTAAGAAAGGAAAGATATGTTGAAATTACTAGTATGCCCATTACCCAAATGCATTATTCATCATCTTGCATATAGTATCACAATGAACATGTCAATCTAGAATGGTACAAGTTAGATAAGGAAACCCCATCATTCCCCCATGATTATCTTTGACCATTTACCCACAAAAACACTCAAATTCTTTAGCCTATATCTCCTGGTGGGGTGATTCTAAATGCACCCCGTTACTTGTTAAATGCATCTCTACTAGTTTATCTCTCATACAAGTCGAAATCAAGTCCATAATTTGGATTTTAACTTAAAAGGCACCGTTGTGAAGATAAAGGGTGTTGCTATAGCCTATATGCACTCAATCTATAACTTCTGGATGTAAAAAGACTATTTTCAATGTTGATGGTGCATTTAGAATCACCATCAAGATAAAAGTAGAGCTAAACGAATAAAATAATGTATCCTATCATTTATTGATGAGATTGGAACAAAGATTCGTATACACATAATATAAAAGTTCATATATATTTATATATATAATGTCAAGTAAATGGAAACTAAAAAACTGGGAGCTCAATCCACCAGACTCAATCCACCAGAGAAGAAATGAAAATCATATAAAAAACCTAAACTGTTACTAAAGAGTTCCAAAGACTACAAGTAATGTAATTGTTCTTCCTTATTAGTGAACCAACTACCCCTTCCCTTCTGTTTTCCATGTAAATCCAGTGAAATATTGTTTTAATAAACCAGGGCTATTTTAATTAGATCAGTGCCTTTACTTTGGAAGCAGAAATGACTGGCAGAATTCACCTACTTTTGGTTAGGTAGTGTCACAATCTTTAATCCGCAACTAGTAGTACACTTTATGACATCTGTAATGAATGAGTCCTTGGACTTCTGCATAGTTGTGTAATCATGTCTATTCAATTATCAGAAACATTGAATTGTCAGATAAAATGCAAGAAAGTGAATGAATTCGAGTCACAAAATTGAGATAAATCTGTGTTAATGTGGAACAGAAATGAACTTCATTAAACGAATTACAAAATCTACAGATACAGAAAGGAAATCAAGGGATGTTCTTTTTCAAGCAAAACGCCCTTTAATTAGATTTTATAGGAACAAACTAACCTCTCTTTGCATGCATTCATCAAGTTCTTCGATTCAATTGGCTCTTTTTGCCAGCTTAAATCCATCAAGAATGAAGGATTTCAATCTAGAACCCATATTTATTTACATTGCGGGATGTTTATGACCTCCATTTCGATAGCTTTGAACAGTAGACAACCTCTTAGATCCGTTACAAATGAACTTTGACTCCATTTTTGAACATCGATGTCCATGGTACTCTAATTTCGTAGTTTTGGAACAGACCCCAACAAGATTCCATACGTAATGAGTTATGATTCCAATCCTAAGCCTTGAATTCCAAATCGCACAGAAGCTACATTAGAAAGGAGGTGGCATTGAACCGAATTCTACCATCGGGACATACCATTCTGTTCATCCAAAATCCAAGTTCTACTTCTTCTCCTTGTCATTCTACCGAAAACGGAACTGGACAAACTTCGGCTTCTTGCAATCGATGCACCACTGGAGTTGGAGGTTGAATTCGAAGATGGCCTCAGCCTCCCAAAAAACGAGAACATATTGCGGAAAACTCTTCCTATTCCACTTTCTCCCCTCGTACTATTCCTTCTTGATTCCCACATAATCCTTCTCGGGGTGCCAGAATTGTTATTAAACCCACCGTCCATTTCCGTGTATACAACCGGAAGGTCCCTCTCCCCACCGCCGGCCCTTCTACCGCCAGAGAACCTCCCTACTGCAAATCCGCCACCAGGTAATCTCCATATCGTCAATCCAACTGCTGCTGATTCTTCCTCGTTTGGTTCCGCTCGTTCTAGATTGTTAGAATTCGAATCTGCTGAATCCGTAGGGAGTTCGTGGCGACAAACCGGGCACGAGTTTCGGAGAGTGAGCCAAGGGATGATACAATCGGAGTGGTAGATGTGTTTACATGGCATCTCACGAGCTTCAGCTCTGAGCAGGAACGCTTCTTTGCAAACGGCACAGTGCGATTCCGTGCTAACGTGTAAATGTGAGATCTCAATAGTCGGCATCGAATCAATTGATGCTTTTGAAGCCGGAGGATGTCCTGACCGACCTAACCCATTTATCTCGATCTGCGACAACTGATCGAGCAGTCGGTCAAATCCTGATCCCATCAGAAACTCCGACATCGTTGGCGGCAACGGTTGTAGACCGGAACCTGCTCCATCGTCGTAATACAACTCAAAACCTCTCTCTCCACCGCCTGAATCCTCCGCAGCACCGCTACCTTCTGCGGGACCGCGAAGCACGATAACCGGATTAAACGGAGACCGGTCTCCGTTATTACGCCGACCACCACGCCTGGACCGTAGATCTGATCGATCGTTGCTTCCAAGCATGTACATCGCCGTGGCAGGAAAACGCCGGCGAGTCCCCAACGGTGGAGCCTCGCTGGCTTCCACGGCTTCAACGAATCCTCCCTCACAGTAAGGGCATACAACGGTATCTTCCGCCGGTAATCTGACAAAGCGCGTGCATCTGTAACACCAATAAGACGCCGCCGCCGTCCTCGACATTTTCTTCACCAAAAATTGAATAATAACCTACAACAACCACCTTGGCCTGAATTCGATTTCTCAGATCTGAATTGAAAACAAAAAGTCGCCGGAAAATTGTTGCCGGAAGAGGATATTTGAGGAGGATGAAAAAAGGTCTGCTTTTGAAATACACGCGTGATAATGCGGTTTATTGGTCCTACTTCCTTACGTTGGTTTTATACCCGTATTCCATTCCACATGGTTTACCTCAATTTATTTTTAAATAAAATAAAATTTCTTTTTTTACCCTGAGGCTTTTATATAAAATTTCTTAATTTTTTAAAGTTCGGGTCATATGATTTGTCAAACCACGCAATGCGGCGGTAGCCATGAATTTTAACGATTTTGAAGTTCCACTGGTTTTATAAGATAAGATTTAACGATGATATAGGTTACACTTAGTCTTTACATATTAATACAATTTGAATAAATAAGAGTTATGGTTCCAATTACAGACTATCGATGAAAAAAATTGTATGACAGTTTAAAATCCAACATATTTAAACGACTCCACAAATGTATTCGATTTACACCAAGAGCAAAGTTTTAAGATAAACACTCAAAATCAATAAAGAAAACTATAAATTTGACAGATTATAAGCAATGAAAAGACAAAAAAAATGGGTTTTAGAATGAAATTTCAACTGCTTACCCTCTTTCTTGTCCAAAAACTCATATTAAGGTTGAATTAATACATGTATATATATTTCAAAAAAAACCCAAGAACATATTAATTCAAAACATATTATACAACGCAATTTGGACAGCCTAACCCCAAAATATATAATATATAYATATATAAATAAATAACTATAAAAGTATAAATCGTAAATATTAAAAATATTTTTTCACAGTATATATATAATATAATTAAGTCAAAAACTATTCAATATTGGACTCATTTCAAAGATATTAACAAGACGATTATAATGGTGTAACTTGTTAAAATAAAAATGTAATTTTGAAACATGTTTTAATTTATATACGATTATGTATGTTAATTTGATAAAGGTTTAAAATGAAACATTTAAAAGTAAAGGACGTAAAGTAAATTAATTAATTAATTATAGGGGTATAAAGTGTAAATTTAAAATTATAATTTTAAAAAAATCGGTTGTGAGATGGTGAGTGTATGTGAGGGGGTGAGTGTATGTGAGGAGATGAGGGGGTGAAAAAGTGAAAAAGTTAGTATAAATGATATTTTGATCATTTAGTATTTTAAGACTTTAAGACTTTTGCTAAATTTGCTTAATAAGATAGTATAGATAACATTTTTTATTTTATTTTTTAAAATTATAAGATGGTTATCATGGTTTATAAAATTATTCGGATTTGGTTCTTCTTTTTAACGATCATTAAATTAAAAAAAATTTGTTAGAAAAATGATACTTTTGTCTTTTTATTTATTTTATATGTCAATTACCCAATCAAAAACCATATTTGGCTAAGGGTTTATCCGGATAAGCGCTTACCAAGTCACATTACCTTACCGGATGAATATGATATGAGCCAAGAATTTTACCCGGTAAGAGCGAGACAAATACCAAGAGTCTTATTTGGTAGGTGAAAACGATGACTCTTACCACGTAAATTGTTGCATACGATGTCGTTTTGGTTGACTAAAATCTTACCCGGTAAGTAATTGATAGTTTTAAATTTTACCCGTTAGCACCTACTGAGTAAATGTTTGTTAAACGGGCCGTAACTCATAAAATCAATTTTGATTGCTTAAAAGATAAAAGGTGGATAAAAAACGAAAATTTCTCTTATTTAATGGAACTTTTTAACTGCTATTATAGAGATGGACCCAGTCAGAAAGTTTTTACAAACCACGATGGTCATCTTGTAACTTCGAAAGTAAAATGATGAAAAGTGTTATTTTTGACAACCCACAAAGACCAAATTTAGAGTTTACTCTTTTTTCTATTTAAGTTTTTGTCAACAAAATAATATAACTCCAACCCTCAGGTTTATCAAAAAGTATGAAATGAAACCTGAACTTTGATAAGTCTAGAAAGCATCCATATGGTTCTCGTTTTGCTCTGAAAGTGATTCTTAGTCACTACTCTTTATATTTTTTCCATCAAAGGGAAGGGCATTTATGTCTTTCTTCATTAAAACTTTTTATTTTTCTTTTAAAAAATAAAATAAAATATTTTGTATCTTACTTTTAATTTTTGTTTCAACAATGTATATATATATTACTTTACAAACCATGTTATTTGTATAAATTGTACAAATTTCATTCAATCAATCATAATTTTTCATTTTATTCATTTTTTTGTAATTATGAGAGGTTGATTAATCGTTTTTATTGTGGAAGATGTTAATCATGGATATTATCATCTTCATTATATTAATTTTAGAGAAATACATGAAACAGTTTCATTAAAATTTCGTAAGTATTATATGAAACAATTTTGTAACTATATATGAAACAACTTCATAAAAAAAATATTATATAAAACAATTTCATGAAGAAAAAAAATTCATAAGATTAAACAATGAAATCGACGGATGAAAGTTGTTTGTACAATATGGTGGTTTGCATTTGATTGCTCCTCTACATATATATACATACATACATATATGTATATATATATATATATAGAGAGAGAGAGAGAGAGAGACAAAACATATGGAGAACCACAACAGGGTCCCCCATCGGAAACGTCCTCTCGTTAGTCTGATCTTCCTCCCCATGGTCGGCCATTCCAGAAACTTGAAACAAAAAGAAATACAAACCCATGTGATGAAGAATGACGATGAGGCTCGAATCTTTATCTCATGGTCGGTCTAGTCTTATCTCTCTCACCCCTTTTCTATAACATCCACGAATTTCAGACTCCTTAATATGTTTAATTCTTTATCGAAGGGTATTTAAGTTGTTAATGATGGTTTTTATGTAGAAACCATGTTGGAATATTGGGATTTGAATTGGGCTCGAAGGATGTGAAAAACAACGAAAATGCACAAAATAAGGGTTAGCGAGACCTAGGTCGCCCGGCCAAGTCGCATGGCTCATTGTTTTGATGAGTTGTGTTCACGCGACTTGCCACGCGACCTAAGTCACAGGAAAGGTCGATCAAAAAAAGGTTAAGATCCTGTGGTGGATTCAAGATCATTGGTAAAGGTAACCTCCTAATCTCTACACCCAAAAGTTAGGGTTTTGGTGTGTGGTCTTCATTCTTTAGAAGACCATTTGGAAGTACTAGAGCCAAGATTTAATAACCTTGCAGATAGATCTCAAGTAAGGTTGGTTTGGAACCTAGATTTAGCATAAAACCAGCAAGGTAAGTTCTAGTTGATTTGCAAAATTATATACATGTCAAAATATCTCTATTTCTGAGTTTTGAACTTACATCCATGAATTATTTCACTTTTGATGAGTTTTATGCATATTTGTGATTTGAGCATATTTAGGTTATGAAATCACTGGTAACGTGGTTATGATGTTTTATTGGGTGTTTCGAGACACCAAGTGATGATAATTTCATAAAAGTAGATTTATAAGGTATTTGGATAATTTGAGACAAAATATTGTTTTAACTCTTGAGAAACGTGTTTTGAGAGAGGAATGATTTCGTTTGGTGTTGTGGAACAAGTCTAAGGGGGCGTTTACTAAACGCTTACTTGGTAAGTGCTTACCGAATAAATTTTCTTATCGGATGAACATGACAAGGGTCAATAATCTTACCAGGTAAGAGCGATGAGAAGGATGGAGAGTCTTACCCGGTAAGTGAAGATTACGACTCTTACTTAGGTAAGCGTTTAACCGGTAAATTGTTGCATTCAATACGTCTTGATGTACTAAAATCTTGCTCATCAAAATAAATTATAGTGTTGACTCTTATAGGTAAGCACTTACCGGGCAAGCATTTGGATAAGTGTTTATCGACTTGGTTTTGGGTCAGATATGTTTTCGAGACTTCACCCAACTTGTGAACTTTTGATAATGACATATTAGCCCAGTTTGTCTTGAGTGTAAAACTATTTGGTAATCGTCTCCTTTGGCTTTGTGGAGATTTTTGAAATGCAAACCATACAGTTTTGGGACTTTTTGGTCAGCGCTTACCGAGTAAATTGTTGCATATGAAGCCTTTTTTGTTGACTAAAATATTACCCACTAAATAAATGATAATGTTGAATTTTTTTTCGACAAGTGATTACCGAGTAAGTGTTTGGTAAAATCTTACCCGCTAATTGTACTTTTTACAATTAACTAAAAATAATAATTTATTTTAAAATAAATGTATTTAATTCGAGGCATATAATCGAATATCTAAAAAGATAAATTGTATGAAAATGTAACGTACTTTAACTTGATTTTTACTTTAGGTGTACTTTTAAAACTTCCATTTTGACAATTAAGATGTAAAGTTTTAAACATTTAAGTACCCGGATAACCGGTTGAAACATCAACCGATTATCATGCTGATTTGACGAGTAATGTGGTATCCAACTCAGTATTCTTTGCTGACGTGGTTAGTGACACAAATTTTCTTTAATCTAAAATTAGTCTTCAACCGGTTACCGGGTACTTAAATGTTTAAAACTTTACATCTTAGATATAAAATGAAAGTTTTAAGAGTACGTTACCCAAAATAGAAATCAAACAAAAGTGCGTTACTTTTTTCGTGTAACTTATTCTATCTAAAAATGCTTTTAATATATCAATTTATTATTAATTACCGTTACGGTATATTTATAATATTAATTTATCATTTTTGTAATAATTTGTTTTATGAAAAAATATACTTGATCATTATTAAGAATTTTCACTAAACTATATATTAACATGTAAGAGTCTATCTCATATATATAAAACATGAGAAATGTGCATTTTTTACAAGGCTGAAGTCGTGGACTATCAATATTTTCCATCATTGTTTTAAGTTAGATTTAAAGTTATTAAACCAACTTATCGTTTTAGACTTGAGGCATTACAAATAATATCAGAACCAATCTTTGTACTATCGGGGTGGCGGACAAACCTCATCCAGTACGATGAATCTCCGATAGGGTGTTTAGAACATCTTAGGGAATCCCATATGGCGAATTAAAAGAAGGAAGATTCTTGCCAAGTGGGGAGAGTTTGCAACAACCCATCACATATGGAT